TTGTAGATTTATGTAGATTTGATATTCTTTTGTGTGTCTGGACAGTTTTTTGTTAACTAACTAGAAAACCTACGCCACCGACGGAGCTATGCCTTCTCCTTGTCTTCTAGTTTCGCTTAATCCAACAACATCCCATCCCATTTCGAGCTCTTGTTCGATGAATCTTTCCTCTGACAGAAAAATTTAGAGAGTTGGGAGAAAATTCAATTTCTACACTATTAACATGCTAATTCTTTTCATTTCCGGAATTTTTGGCTCCATGGTCCTTCACAATACATTGTCCACTTCCAGGCCATCTCGTCTCGCTTATCCCCAGGATATCAATGTTCAGTCTACTCATGTCTATAGAATTGTCTTTTGGATTTTTCCTGCTTGAAACATTATTCTTACGTTCCATGTCATCATCATCAAACAGCCTCTTTTCACGTTCATTGTTGAACATACGCCTCCTCTAAAATGTTCCAGTTGTCTCTGTTCTGAGCAGTTGCGATCTAATTTAATGAGGTTGTCTGTCCAGCGAGTGAAAGGACTTCCTCATCTCTTGTTCTCCACTCAATAAGTTTCTTCGTCCATCTCCCGTCCTGAGATCTTGCGCCGTGGCCTGCCCATTTCCACTTTTGTTTTGCGATTCGTTCCATAATATAATTTATCCCAGTTCTTATGCGGATATCATTATTTCTTACTCGTTCTTTTAAAGTCAATTCAAGCATGGATCTTTCCACTTGTCTCTGTATTACTGTCAACTTTTCTGCTGATGCTTTGGTGAGAGGCAATGTCTCCGCACCATAGGTCAAGACTAAGAACACACACTGTATTGGTTGAATGCTTTTCGTTATAGGGATATTGAAATGTCAGCTCTAAACACATTCCAAGGTTATTCCTCTTATAAATTCGCATGTTTGGTTATCTCTGTGAATTCTCATCTCATGAACTAAGTATACATACTTGTCCACGGTTTCTATGTTATTATTGCCTATATGTATTTGCTCACTGAAAAACAGATTAGTTGTCATTTTTGTTTTGGAGAAGTTCATTAGGTCCACTTCTTGCGTGGAATTTTGAAGTTCCTGAAGTATTTTTTTAGCTTCGCCCAGACTGTCTGATATATTAGGACAATATCAAAGCGAAGATTATTAAGACTTTCTCATCGATGGTTATTCTTTTCAGCTCCCAAGGCAATTGCTTAAAAGCATGTTGCAGAACTGTGAAGAGCAGCTTGGGTGACATAGTGTCACCCTGTCGGATTTGTCACCCTGTCGGATTTCTCTTTTGATTGCAATTTTTCTGGTGGTGGAGTGAAGATTCTCGGTGGTCATTGCGTTTCCGTATATGTTTTTATTAACTTCGCAATATCGGTGATAGAGCTGTAACAAGTACCTACATTGGTAAAGCACTTGGAATACGGGTACAAAGTTCTCACAGTTTTGTAGAAGTAATTGAAGTACAAAGTAATTTTTTCTCTCAAATGTACTCCAATTACCAAGTACTTAATAAACTAGCCGACCTAAGCAGCGTAGTGGATAGTGATCTGCTTCGCATGCCGATGGTCCCTGGTTCAAGTCCCGGCAAGATGCATGGTTGTATTTGTGAATGTTTCCTCCTCTACATGTAATTACTTAACGGTGTTTGTAGAGTGTATCCACAAAAACAAAAAAAAATAAAATAAAATAAAAGTAATGGAATTTTTCAAAGTTTTCAACTTGAAGTACAAGTGGAGTATTTAAAGTACTTCTACATACTTCAAATACACTATAATGGGCCTTTCTGATAAATATAAAACATGACAATTTTTTAAATTATTATTTTTCTTGGAACCTTTGTCAAAAATTAACCAACAACCCAACAAGCAGCCTCTAATGTCTGTGTTACTTCAAATATTTGAAAATATAGAGTATTTCAAGTCGAGCTTCAAATACACTTTTGAAGTAGTTGCAAAACTTTCATTGTACTTGAAGTATTTTTCAATGTACTTCAAGCCCTTGCATTTGAAACAATGCATAGTACATTGTTAATAATTGTTCAAGTACCAAGTATAAGTACCGTTTATCCACTGTACTTCAAGTAGAATACTTCAAGTACTTATAAGAACTTAAGGTACAATTTCAAGTATTTTTCTTGAAGTACCTGACAGCTCTGATCGGTGATCATCTCTATTTTCATGTAGTGTTCTCAAGATTGCTGGAAGTTCCACGGTGTCGAACGTCTTTTGGAAGTCTGCAAACACCAATACCAAAGAACGATTGTATTCAATTATTTTTTCTATGAGGGTAACCAAAATAAAAAGTATGAGCAGAACAAGTCAACCAAGAATGGAGTTTTTATTACCGCATTAGGTTGTCAAAATGGTATGTTGATTCTGGTGCTTCGTCACATATGACTTCTAACAAAGAATGGCTGGTCAATTTTTCAGAAGAAAGAATCGTTAGCTCATAGAAGTGGCTATTGCAAATAATCAAATTTTATACAGTCAAGGAATTGAAGATGTATCTATTATAGATCACCATTCCAGGTTATGTTTAACGTAACCAATGTTCCGGACCTATCCTCTTATTTGCTATCCGTAAGACAGATGGTCTCTGAAGGGGTTATAGTAGTATTTGATCAAGAAGGATGTAAGATACTTGAAAACTGCGTGATTGAAGGTAATACAGTGGCTACAGCAAGTAAAATTGGTGGAATGTATTGCCTCAATCTAAACAAAACTGCACACGCAAATTTTTCAAACACAGAAATGTCAAAAGTACTTTGGCACAGAAGACTTGGATATTTAAACCGTATCAGTATGAAACTTCTTCGTGAAAAAATGGCTATAGGATGGGATTTTTTTAACAAAAATCTTGACAATCCTTGTGAGTCCTGTATTCAAGGAAAACACAGCCGGAAACCGTTCAAAATGCAACGAACAAAGGTTTCCACTCACGAAAAGTTAGAGCTCATACACATGGATTTGTGTGGACCCATCATAGATTCTTGGAGAGGAAGTCGGTATATTTTTTATCTGATAGATGACTTCACGCGAAATGTTTTTGTCTATTTTCTCAGACAAAACAGTGAAGGTACAGAAGTTTTCAAGGAATTCAAACAGCAAGTAGAAAATGGATGTAATTTGAAGATAAAAAGAGTCCGAAGTGAGAATGGTAAAGAATTCTCAAACAATAATTTGAAGAATTTTCTAAAGCAAAATGGCATAACATTTCAGCTAACAGTACCGTACACACCACAAGAAAATGGAGTTGTAGAACGCATGAATCGAAAAATTTTACATAAGACGAGATCTATGATGCAAGAATCGTCTTGTGATAATCGTTTTTGGGCTGAAGTTGTTTCTTGGGAATGTCGCAAGCAGACTCCAGTCGCCATGTCTTCGTGTAAAGTTGAATATATGGCAATCAGTGATTCCGCAAAAGAAGCAATACATTTGAAAGGATTTTTATCAGAACAGTAAATTTTTCAAAACCTGTGAAGGTTTACAATGACAAAGTGCTCAAAAAATTGCACCAACGATTTTTGAATTACCAAAACAAATCTAAAATTTAAATGTATAACTGGAAAATTTGCCGTAGAATTCGAAAATGTAATAATAATATACAGGGTGACCCATATAAAATAAAGAAGTTATTGACACTGCCAATCAAACGGGTGGCATTTAAATATTTCAAAATTGAAATGCTGCATCGACTTAAAAGCTTTGCATCCCTACAATTCGAAATCGATATTGAATTTCATGTTTAAGGTAGAGCTTAGTAAACAATCTCATGGTTTGTTGCACTAGTGCGACAATAAATATCATTATAGGCCTGTTCGCACAGAAATCACCAACCAGTCAGAGCGAATTTCATTGGTTGAAACTAGTTTTCTGACTGTTTCTGACTGTTTCCAACCAATGAAATTCGATCTGACTGGTTTGTGATTGCTGTGCGAACAGGCCTATTATGATTTTCACTGTCAAATCATAGATATTTTGATGCATTTAGCATTTTTTCTTGATTGAAAAATCCGCCAATTTTTCAACAACAACAACTCTCTAAATTTTTATAAGTACACGGCAAATTATATCGCATCAATATAACTGCCCCTAGGAGGTCCCTGGATAGACTGTGCACAACGATGATAGCGTGTCTGGTTCTCCCATCAGGATAAGTAACATCTGATGGGGCTCTTATTAATTTACCCCCAAAGAGAAAGCGGCAGTAGCAGCGACCAACCCCCTTTTAGGCCTTTGATTCCCCGGATCGAATTCGTACAGTTGGTGTTCCAGAGAGCTTGCGCCAAAACCGGCTTCACTCACACAACTGAAAATTTTAGCTGGAAACTGGAAAATAAATATTTGGTTTGTTTTCTTTTTTTCTTGCATTGATAGTGAGTAAATATTATGAAGGATTCAATAGTTCCAGAAAGTTGGAAGTCGAGCTAATAATCAACTTGTATTTTTACCAAGTATTTCTTATCATCAAAAGTTTTCGATTGATTGTCTTTTTTGAAAAAAATATTCCAGTCTATTCTAATAGATAAGATAAGCAATAAGCAATAATTCCGGTGTTGAACTTCAACATGGGCCAACTACCTTTCACCCACTAACCCATATCGAACGATCCGTTCGTTTTCCACCCCGTCTATCCCTGTGACGTCACCGACTAACACCCCGAAGAGCAAATAAATATCCTGCGAAAAATGTCGGCGTTGTCAAACTATACAAAAGATTTAGCATTTTCTTTTCAGAGAGAGAGGGCTTGATTGGCAGAAATTTGAAAAACTTTGAGATTTTAAATTCTGTATAATACAATTCTTATTTTTCAGACTTAGCTGCAGAACATTCGTTTTCTTAACAATTTAAGATTCTGTATCAGTAGAGTAGAGTTATAGTCAAAATCAATTTTCTGAGACTTTTCATTGGTCCGACCATAACAATAAGTCTTTGCCTGTATATGTTACTTACAAAATGTCAAATTTGAAGCACTTTAAAGTCTGCCACTTAAGTTTATTTGTGACAACACTGTCGAATTTCCTTCCGTTTTCCCGAATGTCGCAAAGAAGGGGGATGAAATTTGCGCACGCTCCCGCATATTTCCGCATGTTCGCCATAGAGTTTCCTCATGGATTTTTCCCGTTTGTGAAACCGGCTTCTGCACCCGCCCCCTGCCGGTGGAAAACTCGAACCAACACGCTGCGTTTACAAATAACATCCTATATTAGGGAAAACGAGAAAATTTCGGTTTGTTTTATATACACCCCGCCGATCGCTGAACATTTTTTTTACAAATGAAACTTTCGAGTAAGAATTGAGTTTGAGTGTAACATTTTTTGAGTTTGACTTGTTAAGTAGTGGAGTTTGAAATCGATTTAAAAAAATTATTGATCATAGAGACATGACGACGTTTGTTCAACCCTAATGTGTTCGCATTTTTGTGATGTACGTGGTGTTGTTTTCGCGACCAAAAAATTTTTAATTAATCGTTATAATATACCTTTTTCAATATAGTCTATTAGCCGAGTTATGTTATTTTAAAAAATCTATAATAACAGTTATTTGTTATCCTATACGAATTTTAGTAGTCCAATTTGTTTTTTTTTACATCCGAATTAGTACAACTATTTTATTTTGCTGCCCCTTTATAAAATTCTTATTACAATAAGCAATACCAAATTTTAAAAAAAAATAATAATAAACCTCTTTTAAATAAGACTGTAAACCCAGACTGAATTCGACTGATCAACCATCGGCTTGACTGAATTTACACCAGAAATTTTCATTAAACCAAGTTCGGGCGTTTGATTTTCTTTGGTGTTTTTTGATGTTAACGATTTTGATACTCACTTTTACTCGTCGTCGTCGGTAAAATAATATTTAAACATAAAAAATTGCGTCGTCATATTTAATCGTACGTCACACGGAGGGCTCGAAAATCATAAAACTGGCGGGCCAACAGGATAATCAAATAATCACAATCGAACTCCAGGAGGTTGAGGATGGACAACCGCCACCGGCGGCAGAGTCTCCTTCGCCTAATCCTCAACCTCCTCCGCAGCAGACGCAGGAGGCGACGACACCGTCGAATTCTTCGAGTCGACCTGCTGCCACAACATCTCCACCTAATACTATGACAGGTGAGAATTATGTTATGAAATCATTTAAAAATTTCTCACAAGAATTATTACAATGCAGCAGACAAAGTTCTTGCAAAAGTTCAGTTGTCAGTCACATAATGTCTATCAATGTCTTATCCACAGAATGCCCATTTGATATATTGGCAGATACTCATCTGATCTCATATTTAACACTATATTATGCTGTAAGTACTTGGAGCTTCGGTTAACATTTTTTTTTATCTGTATACCTATCTACCCTATAGAAATTCGTTATCCTTTTGCAATAATAATTGTCTTGAAGAAGAAGTTTTATCTGAATTTTTATCGAAAAACTTGGTGATATATGTCGATAATCCTAAAAACCTTAAATTCTGATGCTGTTTGAGGGTTTTGGAAATTTTATAATACTTTCTACATAATCTTTGTTCGGCTAAATTCCTTTACCACTGACTATATACTAAATCATTTATTAAATTTACACTAAAACAACATTTTTCCATATTTAATAAGTAATTTCATATATCTTTATTAGTTTTATTAAACTTTGAGTTGTTTTTGTTTATGTCTCCCACTAATTAAAATATCCGCATGCACGGTTACAGAATTAACTTTACAGTCGTCTATAATCTGATCTAAAGCTTTTTGAAAACTTTCTGGCAAAGACCACATTCCAAATGGACAAGTTTTATAGGTACCTAAATCTACCGAAGGGATGCATAAAATTTGTTAAAAGTTTTGAAGATTCAGAAAGTTTTAACTGGTGGAAACCCTTGTAACTATGTTATTTTGATCTTGTATTTTGGCTAACGTCTCCTTAACTAATAAAGTTCTGTTTTAAAGGGGGTGTGCGCCAAAAAAACAACTTCATCTCAAAAAAAAAGAGAAAAAAAATCTAAGAATAACAGTGAAATCCGCACATGACAAATAATACCGCAGATATGGCTCTATGAAGGTACCGCATCTCACCCTATGACGTCACGAAGGCTCAAGCGACGCACGAGAAAGTGGAGTTAATTAAATCCACTTTTTTTTTTCCCTGTGTTACCTGCAATAATCTAAACAAAAACCACTCACGCGTGCCGGGAACAATCAAATTAACAATGCGGAGCGCGGCTGGACGAAGTTCTCGTGACGTCACGAGAGCGTCGTCCACACTTTAAAGCGGTATATCTCAGCGATGGTTTATCGTAGAATAACGAGGTTTGAACAGTTATTCTTAGATTTTTTTACACTAAAACTTTAATTTTTGGCGCACACCCCCTTTAACAAATTTGTTTAGATTTGTATTTATCTATCTATTCCATCCATTTATCCCTATTCGGTCCATCTTTGGACATAGGCCTCCTCCAGTCTTTCCACCTCTTCTCTGTTTGTTGCATTGGTTATATATCTAGTTCCTCTACTTCTTTTATTTCCCCAAGGTTCCAGTTTATAATACAATTTGTTCCATCGATCGTCCTTTTGTCTGATATTGTGACTGGCAAATTTCAATTTTAATTATGGTAACTCTTTTCTAACGTCTCACACTCTCGTTTCATTTCTCGCTCATTCGTTTCGCCTTCTGTCTATTGGTTTTACACATGTAACATTTCTCTTTCCAATAATCATTGTGCTTTTATTATTTTCTCTATGTTTGACTGTGTGGATGTCCATGCACTCCATAGGTGCGAGGACATCAGAGAGTACCTCTACACATTGATTATTGTTCATCGATTTTAATCTGATACTCGGACGGAATGTGAGCTGGTGGCTCCCTACATTAGAACGCCAATGGTTACCTGACGTCACACCTGCTTTTTCCATACTAAACACCCCCTCACTCCTCATACGGAAAGTGTCAGTTAAAAATCGACGAACAATATATACATACTCTGCTTTTGAGATATTGTGGATATTTTGAATTCTTTGATATGTAGTTCAATTTGCCGAATGCTGTCTAAGCCAATCTAAATCGTCTTATGATTTCTGCTGTTGTGTTTTCCTGCAGTAACTTCTTACTTCTGCCATTATTCGAAACGTTCGCTCTCCTAAGAACAACTTGGTCCCCTACACTATATTTTTGACACTTCCTTCGTTTAGCGTCAAAGTATGCCTTTTGCTTACTTTGAGCACTCTCAATTTGCAAAGAAGTCTCTTGCCTTGAAGTTTCAAGGTCATTCTCTACTGCATCATCTACTACAGCTATGCTCAAAAATGATTCACTCATGGCCCTTGGTTTATACCCAACCTATAGTTCGTGAAGACTCTTCCCAGTAATAGAGCTATTTATGGCCGAGTTAATTCCAAACACAATAGAACTCAGTGACGCATCCCATTTTCTCTCATCATCGTGAGAAGTAGTGATGGCATTCAATAGAGTTCTATTATAGATACCTTTCCACCTGCTCATTAGCTCGTGGAGTTGATGTGGCATTTGAAACCAGTTTAATACCCAGGTCCTTTATAAAATTTTGAAATAAATTACTTGTGAAGCAGGAATCTCTATCACAGATTATTCGAGTACCAAAAACGTAAAATATACTCTCCAAAAAGGTTATCACCGGTTTTGTCTTCGTGGTTGGTACTGCTTTAGCGTGTATAAACTTTATAAAAGCATCTTTTGCTACAATAATTGGTCAATGTGAAGAGTGTCCATTGAGATTGCCACTTTTTCGATAATGTGCAGAAATCCGTCTTGCTTTCCTGCTGGCGCCTTATTGTATGCGCCTGGCAAACAAGCAGATATATACCGGCTCACATATTTCCGCATTGTGGGAAACCAATATTTACTAGAGATATTCTGCAGCGTTTTTTCAGTAGACTATGCCAATATGACCTGCATATTATCATGATGATACATAGTAACCACTCGTCGTCCTGTTTTTGGTATATGCATACCATTTTGAACCATTGTGGGTTTGCCTATATAATTTGTTGTCCTTCAGCAAATAATCTTTGTGGACTTGCTTTTCTTCATTGTTTTTGAAGTTTCAGACAGAATTTCCATTATTTTGTTGCATTGATTATCTTTAATTTGCACCAACATAACCCAATCATCCTGGGTGATATCAACTTGCAAAACGCCTGCTTCCTGGATTTTTTGGCGACACCATTTTTGATCAAAAGGATTCCTACTAAGATACATGTGCCATCTTCTAACCCTGACGGTACTCTACCGTAAAATTGAATTCTTGGGTTATTAGCCACCATCTAGCAATTTTAAGAATAAGGTCACGTTTCTGCATTGCCGTTCTTAGAGCAATACATTCGGTTACCACTTTGAATGACAACCCCAGTAAATAGACTTTAAACCGATGCAATAAGCTGACTACCACTAGCGTCTCTACCTCATAGGAATGATATTTTTCTTCATCCTTCGTTGTCTGACGGCTAAAATACAATACCTACAAGCTTTAAGTTGGAATCGGTCTGTCGTTGGAAGAGAATTTCACCAAGTCCAACTTTGGAAGCGTCCGTGTGGACTTCGGTTGGTAACTTGGGATCATAGATAGCAAGTATAGCTCTTTTGATCAAAACTTCTCTAAGTTTTTCAAAAGCACTATCCTCCACTACACCCCAACTAAACATTACATCCTTCTTGGTGAGAGACGTCAAAGATCGAGGAATTTGCGCAAAATTTTTGACGTATTTCCGAAAATAACTACATAAACCCACAAATTGACGTACTTGATGAATGTTCTTGGGTACAGGGAACTTCTCCACAGCAACAATTTTGGAAGAACCAGGAAGTATCCCAGCAGCACTAATCTCGTGTCCTAAGTAGTCAATTTGGTTTTAGAAGAAATTACATTTGGATAAACGCAAAGTAATAGCCGCATTTCGGAATGTTTGAAAAACCTCTCCCTGAGCTATTAATCCAGATCAGATGTCACGGTAGAAGAAGGCACCAAAATCTTTTTGCTCGAGGAGGATTAACTCCACTATGATGAGTCTATGCCACATAGCTGGAACATTGGTTAGTCCAAAGGGCATACGCTTGAATTTATAGAGACCACGGGAAGGCGCAGAAAGAGCGGTTAAAGGACGAGACTCTGGAGATATAGGAATCTGCCAATAGGCGGACTTTATGTCCAGGATACTAATAAAATTGGCATCACGAAGCTTATCGAGAGTGGCACTCACAGTGGATTACATAACCCGGTTTAAACTTCGATAATCGACGCAGAACCTCCAGTTGCCAGACTTCTTCTTTACCATCACGATGGGCAAAGACAAGGAGAATCATAATATAATATCAACAGTCTTCTTAAAATATTTATTAAATTTTTCAATAAGATTTCTTCTTCCCATTTATATTTTTCAAACAAAAATGTTTCCGGTTTTGAAACGTCTCTAATGCTACTCTTTAAAGTATGTCGATTAGATTCAAGTTGACTTTCCCGTCTTCCTGCGCTAACAATTTTTGTAAATTTTGAATCCCATGTTTGTAAATCTTGTATATCTTCTTCCACATCCAAGGTGGATATTCATTAGTTTTTCGTTCATTTTCAGGCATTTTAATACCCTGACACCATGTAAGAAGTTTAATAGAAAATCATATATTGGAAAGTAAGTTAATTACTTGTCAAGCTCTGACTTCTGTCTCTATATAGTAATCTTTCCCTACCTATGATATCTTCTAGTACAAGAAATACTTTAGCCTAATCATACTGGGAACTTAAGAAGAAGTTAGAGCCTAAGTTGTATCGGGGCCTCCATTTGTCTCTGTCTAGAGTGCATCAACAATTCGAAAATTGGTACCTATTATAATGGTAATCACGTATATATAATAGTTATTTACATTACAAGTGCGATTATGAACATGATTACAATAACGAGTGTGAAAAATTAGAACGACGAGGTCGTAGACTGAGTCGTTTTAATCACATGAGTTTTGTAGTCATATTTAAACGCATGTGTGATGTAAGTACCTACAGGATGTCCAAGATTCGATGGTTTTGGGGGTTTCGGGTATTTCTAAAGGAGTTGGAAAAAATCTGACCCCTACATGCGCGCTTCGATTTTCAAGAGAAATTGAC